CTACACAGGGAAACCTTGTCAGGGGGAAAAAGAAAAGAAGGAGGAGGAGGAGAAAGAGGAGGAGGAGAAGAGGAAGAAGAGATGAAAGAGGAGGATGAGCAGAAGAAAAAGAAAAAAAAAGAAACAACTATTTAACTGCGAATTCTTAGGAGAATATATTTTGGAGCCTACATATTGTAGAGGGTTTTGAACCTTGAAAGATGTTTTAAAATATTGAACTTCTAAAGTGTTTGAATTTTTAAAGACCGTTGGGATGTTTAGAATATATTTTATATTGTGCTATTGATTGATATGACATCTTGGGGACAAGGGAAGTTTATGATTTAAGAGCGATGCTTTTTGGGTGACAAGCTGACAAGCTGTTAATTGAGCTGGCTAGTTTTATGTTAATGCAATACAATCTAGAGTCATCTTGGAAAAGAGAGCCCCAATTTAAAATGTGTCCACTATGTTGGCCTGTGGGCAAGCCTGTGGTGCATTTTCTTGATGGGTGATTAATGTGGGAGAGCCTCACTCACATGCCACTCCTGGCCTGGTGGTCCTGGTGGCTATGAAAAACAAAACAAAACAAAAAAAGGTAGTCTGAACAAGCCATGAGGAGCAAGTCATTAAGCAGTGTTCCTCCATGGCCCCTGTTTCAGCTCCTACCTCAGGCTTTGAGTTCCTGTCCTGACTTCCCTCAGTGACAGAGTGTGACCTGAAGAGCTGAGAGATGAAATAAACCCTTTCCTCCCCAAGTTGTTTCTGGTCATGATGTTTTTATCACAGCAACAGAAACTCTAACAAAGGCACAAGAGAATCAGAAGCTCAGGGCCTCAGCAATGAAGGCTAGGCATGTAGCTCAGTGGTGGGAAACTTGCCTAACATACACGAGGCCCTTGCTTCAATCCCCAGGGACTTCAAAAGCCAAACCAAAACAATCCATGACCCAGTGATGGAAACAGTCCTTCCATGATGCGAGGTTGTGTTATCATTGCACTGACCTAGTAAACAGGAGAAATGCCACCTGCCAGCCGGAAACAACGCTGACGGACCTTTCCCCTACACTAAGTGCCCCCTACAAATAGACAGCACCTTTAATTCCGCAGAACCCAGCTACCCCTGCCTGCCATCATCTCTACCACAGGCAACAGTTCCGATTTTAGGATGTTGCAAACCATACGGGAAGAACTATCGGCATAGTGGGCACTTGCACGGCTCTGCTCAGGGCGGGACTAAGGTGTTCGGATGGGCTGGGGCACTGGGGTTCCTGTGTTCCACAGAGTGACTATGAGCCCCCTCTGAGCACACAATGCTCGGGTCACCTGCAGAGGCAGGCGGCTTCTGACTGGAATCTCTCAGAAGACACCTGTAGATTCCAAGACTCAGCTGGCTGTTATCAGGAAGATGCTCCCTTTCTTTCCAGCCATCTGTAAGGGCTCATTGTGATGCTAAAGCGAAGGATGAGGGCTGCCTTTTTCATGATGTTTTGGATGTATAGCGGGGAAACAGTAGTAGTTCTGAAGCTGCTTTTTTTTTTTTTTTTTTTCCCCTGAGTGTAATTAGAGAATTCCCTGGACTTATCTTTGTGAGGTCTTCCCTTTGCTTTAGACAAAATTGTGTGTGTGTGTGTGTGTGTGTGTGTGTGTGTGTGTGTGTGAAAGAGAGAGAGAGAGGTCTGTGTGACCGTGGCTGTGTTGTAACACACCACGTGTGTGGTGGTCAAAGGACAACTTTTAGCAGTTGGTTTTCTCCTCCTTCCTGTGGTTCCCAGGGGTCAAACATGGGACTCGGTGGCCAGCGCCCTTGTCCCCTGAGAGCCATCTCATCATCCCTTTATCTTTCTAATGTATTTGTCTGTCTATCTATCTATCTATCTATCTATCTATCTATCTATCTATCTATCATCTATCTATCTAGAGACATAGACTATGTAGCCCTGGCTGTCCTGGAACTTACGATATAGACCAGGCTGGCCTGGAACTCACAGAGATGCACCTGCCAATGCTTCTGCTTCGATTAAAGGTGTGTGTTAGCACACCTGGCGATCTTTCATTTTTAAGTGCTTGCTGCACTCTTGCTGTGACTCATGCGTCACATGTTTTTTGTCCTGCCTTCATCTAGAAGCCTGGTGAACTAGGCCGTCTCATTCCTTTTTCAGAAGAAAAACAGACTCAGAAAAGTTACATAAAAACCAAGCACAGGGACGCATGCCTATATACTCAGGAGGCTGAAGCAGAAGGACCACGTAAGCCTAGGAGTTTGAGGCCAGCTGGATATAGGGAGTTCTTATCCTAGAACAACAACAGAAAAGGTCGGAGAGGAGGAGGAAGGGGAGGAGAGAAAAGCCGAATGACTGTCTAGATGCCATGCAGCTAATGAGTGGAGGTGCAGGAACCAAATCCAGGGCCAGCTCCGGCTTTGTCCTTGTCTCTCCTAGGAAACTTTTCCTCCTGTCCTTCAGCTTGGGTGTGAGTGACCCATAATTCTGCTCACACAGACGTGCCTTCCCCATTCCGTAACAAGTATCCACCTCTGCACAAATGACGTAAAGCAATCCTGTGGAGATTTGCTCTTCCCTTCCCCTCTCCAAAGCAGTTTTCACTCTTAGAAATCTGTAACACTGTAACACTGGCGTGCAACTACAAATGAAGGTTTTCATTTGATGTTTCCCAGATGTCCCAGGGTTTGTGTTCCTCTTTCCTTGGGGAGCTTATTTCAATTTTTTTTCTTTATCAAACATATTATTTTAGCCCTTGAGGTTAACTAATAAATCACAAGCTCTTAGACACAAGAATTTGGATGAAGAAGGACCTCAAAGATCTGTTCACCCAACCGCATCATCAGATGGGCGGGGCCAGCCAATGGTTGTGGTCTTCCTGTGTCAGCAGAGCTCAGAAACTGGCTCGTGTTCTTGGGAAGCCATTGCCCCGTCACCCCACCTAAAAGCTGGCATGGTTTTATTACTTCAGAGGTACTGTTCACCAACAAGAAGAGGGTCTTCTGAATGAACATTGTGGCTTTTCTTTAGCAAAAAGGATTTGTACCCAACGATAGCCAGCTGTGCCCTGACCATTTTCAGAAATATCCCTGAGACATTTGGCCACATTTGCCCTGCCCTCTGGGCTAGGGCAGCTGCTAGGGACCTGCTGAGGCAAAGCCTCACTGGCAAACCTCCTCCGTGGATCCTAGTAGAAGAGGGATGTTTGCCTGTCATTTAGGTGTTCAAACCTCCCCTGGGCATATTTCTGTCAATCCTTCTATACCAGTGGTCCTCAATCTTCCTAATGCTTTGACCCTTTAATACAGTTCCTCGTGTTGTGGTGACCCCCAACCATAAAATTATTTTTGTTGCTACTTTATAACTGTAATTTTGCTACTGTTAGAAAGCATAATGAAAATATCTGATATACGGGATATCTGATATGTTACCCCAAGGGTCATGAGCCACAGGTTGAGAACCATTGTTCTATGCTCTTCTAAGAAATACAAGAGGAAACCGATGGAAGACAGCAAAGGGGAAAGAACACTGAGGCAGATGTGGCAGAAGTAGGGCGAAACAATGGAGGCACAAGAAAGTACTTGATCTCATTCATATGCAGAATCCAAGAAAGCGAATCTGAGGCAGGAGATGGCTCAGTCTGTAAAGGACTTGGTGCACTGCATGAGAACTTGACTTCAATCCCCCACATGCATATAAGAAGCCAGGCATGCTGTAGCGTGCCTTTAGTACCAGGGCTGAGGAAACACAGACAGGAGGATCCTTGGGGCTTATTGGCTAGCCCGTCTAGTGAAAATGTAAGCACCAGGTTCGGTGAGAGAGACCCTGTCTCAAAAAACAGGATGGAGAGTAAGGAAGACACGCAAAGTTGACCTCTCGCCTTTGCATGCATATGCATACACATGCATGTTCGAGCATCCCTGCACACAAACATATACTCACACAATCAGCAGAACACATTAACAAGCTGATCCTATAGGAGTGGAGAGCGAAATGGTGGATAGCAGTGTCATAACAGGGATGGCGAGGACGCGGTCAATGGCCACAAAGTTAGGCTAGGAGGAATATGTCCTGATACTACTGATACGCTATTGCGCAATGAGGTGCTTAACAATGGTAAATATTTCAGAATAGAAGAGGAGACTGTTAGTATTTGACTACAGAAAATAATGCATGTTCAAGGTGATAAAAAGTTTCTCATGGGCCCAGTGTGGTAGCACACGCCTTTAATCCCATCACTTGGGAGGCAGAGGCAGGGAGATCTCCAAGTCCAAGCCCAACCTAGTTTTAACGTAGTGAGTTCCAGGTCAGTCAGAGCTACACAGTGAGGCCCTGTATTTTTTTTAATGCTATTACTTTATATATGTATGTATGTATATCAAAACACCACATTGTACACCACAAATATTTACAGTTATTATGTGTCTATTAGAAAATAAAGTACCACTTTACAAAGGGCAACAGAACGGAGATCTTGACTTGCCACGTTTGAGCGGAGCTAGCCTCCAGCATCACGTGAACACTTTCAACAGCCTTTTACTTGTGTTTCAAGCTTTCACTCTGAGAGAAAGAATTCCGCATTTGATCTTCACCAAAAGGCCGAGAAGCAATGAGAACAAATGCCAAATAGTATCACTCTCTCTCGAGAGAGAGAAAGATGTGGTCATTAAGTACAGACCATACCTCCTCAAAATTTTAATGGATAAAAATTACAACTCTTCCACCATTCTTTTTCTCAGCAGCAGTCAGGATGAGTTATATCCTTTGGCTGGGCTTTCTGCTTTCAGGTTTGCAATTGAATTTCTCTAAATGGAAACCATGTTTCTATTCCACTAAAGAAGCCAGAATGAGCATAGCTTCATACATTATTCTGATGTTTGCTAACAAAAGCTGTTTTCTCTTCTCACAGCATAGAACACACAGCGCAGACATTCAATGAAAACCAGACGGTGTCGTATTGTGACCATTAAGAAGGCCAAGGCCAGGTAGCAGAGGACCACAGACACCAGCCCACATCGTCATGGATGAAGCTGACTTTTCAGAAGATGCAACGTACAAAGAACAGGAAGACTTGCCTTACGATGGGGACCTCTCCCAGACGAAGGCGTGCACTTCTTACAGCTTTACCTGGACAAAGGACCCACTTTCTGTGTCAGAGGAAGTTGTTCTTGCTGGAGGAGACCTTCAGGATACGGCTGCTCTCCATGAGATGTGTCATCTCACAGCTCTGGATGCGGCTTGGGATAAGATGCCTGGATGTGTTGTCAGCGACAGACGAGATAAAGATAAACTACGCACCTTGGCTTCTCCTGCTTCAGCTAGTGAAGGAACTACCTCAAATTCACACATTTTGGATATTTTACTCCATTATCTTTCCAGGGAGCAGTTCCCAAGGCATCAAGGCGGTGACTGCAAAACTCTCCCAGAGACCTTGAATACTGACAGTCTTGATGATGTAGCTATTTTTACAACTATCATTTCACATTATGCAAAGAATTATTGTCTCCCAGAATTCACTGACCAGTTCGGTCCCCAGAGTGGTGCAGAAAATAGCAACAGGCCCAGATGTCCTGCAGGCACACCAGGAAAAAACACCTGTCCCTTAGAAAAACCGGTGACTGCTAGGCAGAGCAACCATCAAGAAGATGTAAGCTTTCTAAGTAGAACTAAGCATCCAGGTGATAAACATAAAAACTGCCTGGGGCAAACATCCCAAAGACAGATGACTGAAAAAGCAAATTCAGGCAACCAGTTCAAACATGGCCAAGGTCAAGTGCATGACCCTCTCCCAGATTTTTCAAAGGTCATTCCCAAAGTGAAAATCGCTAGAAATACCGTAACTAATAAACCATTTACAATAGCTAACCAAGCCAGCTTTTCTCCTAGGTTGAGAAATAAATTAACAGTTGTGCAAGATAGTTTAGGAATCACGTCTGGGTCAAACTGTGTTGAAAAACAACCAGAGCAAAAACGGAAATGTACCGAACCTTCGCAACAAACACAGGTAAATGAGCAATGCCAGTACTGACCCAGGGAGGGTGTCCCAGCGTGGGTTTGTGCACAGAGCTTGGCTGTAGTTCTGAGGTTTTGTTAGGTCTCTGGGTTATTCTGGGCAAGCGAACTGACCTCTCAGAAGCTCAGTGATGACCTCATGAAAAGAATCGGAGGCTGGGTTCAGAAAAATATAAAGGAAGATACAACTCAAATTCCTCAAAACGCTCCCAATGTATTTTTTTTTCTACTTTTTTTTTTTTTTTTAATTTCTAGTCCTGGCTGACCTGGAACTCAAAATATAGACTAGGCTGGCCTTGAACCCACAGAGATCCACTTGCCTCGAGACCTCTCAAGCGCTGGGATTAGTTATGTGTCACCCCACCATACCCGGCCTCCAATATATTTTTTAACTTCATCTAGAATTTTTTAAAATTTTATTTATTTTTATTGTTTGAGAGTTGCATACATGCATGTGATAAAATCCACCCCAATTTCCCTTTTTAGTTCCTCCCCTATTTTCTCCACTAATTTCCCCAGCAACTAAATCTGCTCTTTTCTAATGTTTAAGGTTTTCTATTTTATTGTATGTGTGTAGGTGTTGGCTGCGTGTATGCATGCTCATCGTATGTGTTGTCTAGTGCCCGCAGAGTGCATTGGAGCCTCTGGAACTAGAGTTACAGAGGGCTGTGAGTCATGATGTGGGTACTGGGAATTGAACCCAGAGTCTCTGGAAGAGCAGCCAGTGCTCTTAACCATCGAGCCATCTCTCCAGCCCTCATCTAGACGTCTAAACTCAGTCCTTCTCGGAGTCTTCTTCAGTCGCCTGGTTCTTCTCCGGCCCCCAAAAGTTCTCCAGTTCCTTCATTACAGGGACATCCTTGCTTTGTTTGTTCTTTTTTTTTTTCTTCGGTGTTTCCTGTAGCCAAGGCTGGCCTTGAACCTCTGATCTTCTGGCCTCAACCTCACAACATTGAGATTACAGGAGTGCACCACCCCATGTGCCTTAGAATGTTCTAACCTGATTTATCAAAGAATATTTATTTATATAGCTTCCCTGCAGGCCACATAACTCCTCAAATCTACCAACTCACAGCTTGCTTGCTTGCTTGCTTTTTCTTCTGCATTACTGTCATTATTGTTCTTGGAAGTAACTGAAATAAACTGGGTGACATAAGGCCGAGGTCATGAAAATATATAATGCACTGAGCATACCCACCTCCACACACGGCCCACTAACTTCCCTTTCTCCCCACTCTTCCTTCCCAATAATCCCCACTTTCCCCCAGATCACTTCTTTCTGTCATCCGTACTTATAAAATCTTATATATTTGTATGAAATCTAGAACCCATAAGTGAGAGAAAACAGGTGATGCCTGTCTTTCTGAGACTGACTGAGTTTGCTTAATATTATTTCTGGTTATACCCATCTTCCTGCAAGCTTCATAACTTAATCCTTCTTCACGGCTGAACAGTCCACTGTGTATGTGAGCCACCCTTGATTTATTCCTGCTGTTGGACACTGACAGTTGGAGTTTCTATTGCTGTGAGGAGACACCATGACCAAGGACACTCTTACAAAGGAAAACATTTAATTGGGGCTGGCTTACAGTTTAGAGGTTCAGCCCATCATCATCATGGTGGAAAACATGGCAGTGTACAGGCAGACATGGCGATGGAGAAGGAGAGTTCTACATCTTGAGCCACAGGCTGCAGGAAGAGAATGAGACACACTTCCTCCAACAGGACCACACCTTCTCCCCCAAGGCCACACCTTCTAATAGTGACACTCTCTATGTACCTATGGGGCCACTTTTTTAAATTTATTCACTTTATATCCCAATCATAGGCCCCTACTTCCACTCTTCTTAGTCTCTCCTTCCTACTCTATTCCCTCTCTCTTTTCTCCCTTCTCTTCAGAAAAAGGGATCCCCTCCCCAACTTACACTAGCATAGCATCCTCATCAGAACTGCATCCTCATCCCCTGAGGCAAAAGGCAAGGCAGCCCTGGTAGTGGGAAGTGATTGAAAGCAGGCAACAGAGTCCATGTCATAGACAGAGGGAATGTCCAACCAATCCCTGGCCCAACCTGAGACCCACTCCATGGGAGAGAGCCAGCCCCTGATACCATTAACCTCTGCTATGTTTACACACAGGAGCCTAGCATAGCTGTCCTCTGAGAGGACACACTCAGCACTACAGATGCCGAGACTCACAGCCAAGCATTAGGCAGAGCTTGGGTGTCCTGTGAAAGAGTCGAGGGGAAGGATAGAAGGACCGGGAGGAGACAAGAACGCCACAAGAAGACCAACAGTCAACTAACCTAGACCCACAGAGGCTTACAGAGACAGAGGCACCAACCAAAGATCACACATGGACTGGACCGAGGCCCCCTACACATATGTAACCAATGAGCAGTTTGATCTTCATGTGGGTCCCCTAGTAAGTTGAACATTTTTTATTCAAACCACCACAGACACCTAGGTAATTCCATAACTTAGCTGTTGTGCAAATATCTCTGCGAGACACTGAGTTGGAGTTTGAGGATATCCAAAACTGTACAGGAGTTCTGTTTTAATTCATCTCAGCCTGCTTCGGGTCATAATAGCCTGGAGGTATCCATTTCTTCTATGAGATCTGCAAATTATGAAGAACCTTATCTTCACTTTTTCCACTGCTGCCTCCCGGAGCCTGGCCTTGTGTTCTACATACATTATTCCCCCAGTTATCAATGCCAAATGAAATAAAACCAAGCTCTATAATGCCACAATTCAAGCTTTATATTAGCCTTCATTTAGTATAAAATTTTGTTCCTGGCTAATCTATACTATTTCTCCTTTTCTTAGCCTATCTTCTCATCTCTCCCTAACTTCCCTTCCTGCTGAGGTTCAGGATCAAATTGATTATTTAAGGTTCATTTGTTAGGTAAGTTCATCTTTGAAAATATGACAGGAAAAAAAATTAATTCCTCGTTACTGAATAGTCTTCCTTTTAAGCTTTGTGTGAAGGGCGGTCTGGATGGAATAGCACAGTCTTGTTTATCTGCATTTCTACCCCTTATCTGTAACACCCTTCCAGTTCAGCTAAACACACCAAGGATTTGAGCAGATACCCAACCCTACATGACACTATACACACACACACACACACACACATTCACACATGCATACTGGGAATCAGCAGCCCACCCAGCCTGACCAAGCTATTTTCTGTCTTAGAGAAATTTACATTCAAATGGTTTTGGGAATCGTTGGGGTCCTTCTTTCTTCTTTGTTTTTGTTTTGTTTGTTTGTTTTTGAGACAGGGTTTCTCTGTGTAGCCTTGGCTGTCCTGTACTCACTTTGTAGAGTAGGCTGGCCTTCAACTCATAGTGATCCATCTGCCTCTGCCTCCCAGAATGCCGGGATTACAGGTGTGTGCCACCATGCCTGGCTTCTTCTGCTCATTCATGCATGGCCAATTCTCAGAAGCTCATGGTTTTCAGAAGCAGAGTTAGATATTCACACATCTCTTCCTGGAAATGCTTGAATTTGTCAATGAGCTTGAGGTCAGGCTTCTAAACTTTTTTCCCCAGTCCTATCAGCTTAAATTTGAGAACTGGACCCAATAGGTTTCTTATCATCCTATACTGGGAGTATTCATCCTGGTTAGAGTCAAATTTGAGCACAGTCAGTCATCTCTCTGGCATGTTTATGTTTCTCAGCTCCATGTGTTGGGAGCAGCAAGACCCCAAAAGGGAACCACTCAGGAGTTTAACCCTGTCCAGTAAGTCTGCAACAGCAGGAGCCACCACCATCTCAACATTAAGCATCTAATGTATATCGTGTTATTCCTAGAGTCTGGCCGCCATGTCTGATGTTAACGAGAACACCAGCAACAGAGCTGTGATGAGACTGACAATGGCCCTTACTCTCATGGAGCTTAAGTCTAGGAGACATGTTGGTGTATTCTACATGCTAGTGTCAAACACAGTCATAATGTCAGCTGAATGTGGACCCCGATTAACCCTGATAGCAGCCCTATAAGGCACATTCTCAAGTGTCCCCTACCTTATCACCAAGAAATCTGGGGCTTATAGTAATGAGCAGCAATTTCCTGTGTCACCCAGTCACAGTGAAATTCAACCTCAACATGGCGATCACAGCTTGGATCATTGCCCTATGCTGCCTCCTTGATGGCCAGGACACAAGGCATTTTGAACATTGTCATTGATTAGATCCACAACCAACGCTTCCTTACTCTTTAATCTTGCAGATGGAGTCTGCCATAGACACCCTCCAAGGACTTCTCACAGGTACTATCTGAGAACTACTTTTATCTAGAGAAGCATTTTGAAAACCTTAAAAAAAAAAAAGCGCAAATGGTGCTGATTTTCAGAGACTCCTGTTTGTAACATTTAGTAGAACTGTGGTAAGAAGGAATGAATGGAAGCCAAACCTCACCTTTTATTTTGCATAGCAGTTGAATCCGAGAAATATTGCTGGACAGTGACATCACCATCTCAGAAATATCCTTCCTCAAATTCTTACATATACCAAAAGATCTCCCAAGGAAAACACATGTGCCAGAAACTGAAAGAACAGACTGACCAGCTAAAGACTAAGGTAATACTTATTAAATGTGTGTGTGTGTGTGTGTGTGTGTGGTATAGGTCAGAGAACAATTTGTCAGCATTAGAAACAACCAACATCAAACAGGAGACGGCATGCCGAGAATGATATATTGTATCTTTTTTTTTTTTTTTTTCAAACTGCAGGTACAAGAATTTTCCAAAAGAATAAAACAGGACTCTCTCTGTCATTTGCAAGACATAAGATTGGTAATGAACTTAATCCAGTTTTTAAATCTTTCCTTGGAAATTCCTGTGGGTAAACGCTTTCCATAGCAATGAATAGTCTGCACAGCAGCGGGAGTGGAAGGGAGAAGGAAAAGGAAACCATCTTAGTTTCTGGAGCTCTGAGGTTTAGAATTCTGTTTTTTTGTATGTATTTATCCTTTTTTCTTAAGGAAGCTATTGCTTACCTCACCATTCATCCTATAATAAAACCCAGACCATAGAATGTTCCAGAGAAGAACATCTAAGCCTCTGTAAAGGGTGAACTGTGTATAGTGGATGGGCCCTGGTATATTTCAATTGTAAAAGTAGCTAGTGTCTGGCAACTTGATATGTAAGACTCTGAAAATGCTTAAAAATGAAACTCAAATCAGGACTTTCTGCTCATAACCTTTAACACGCTTTCACACCCTTGCTTGTTGTCACAGCCAATCAAATGACCAGATGTTGTCACCTTAACAGTTTAACAGCGGTCGTAGGACATGGAGGTGGAGCAAGGGGACAATGGTTGCAGCTGGGTGGAAACAAATGAGCTGAAGATGTGGAAGATGGAGTTTAGGCCACAGGGTTAGTGGCCTAAAGACTTAATGAGGGCTTGAACAAGATTCAGGCAAACTCTGCTGCAGGAAGCCCACAGTATATTATATTACTTAATAATATTTGTTATTAAGTAATAAATAATAAAAATTTTAAAAATTTTATTATTTTTATTATTTATTATTTATTATTAATTACACTTTGTTCACTTTGTATCTCCCCTGTACCTCTCTCCCCCTTCTCCACGCATGCTCCTCCACAAGTCCACTGATAGGGGAGGTCCTCCTCCCCTTCCTTCTGATCCTAGTCTGTTAGGTCTCATCAGGAGTGGCTGCATTGTCTTCCTCTGTGGCCTGGTAAGGCTGCTCCCCACTCAGGGGCAGGTGATCAAAGAGCAGGCTAATCAGTTCATGTCAGAGACAATCCCTGTTCCCATTACTAGGGAACCCACTTGGAGACGGAGCTGTCATGGGCTACATCTGTGCAGAGGTTCTAGGTTATCACTGTACATGGTCCTTGGTTGGAGTATCAATCTCATTAAAGACCCCTGTGCCCAGATTTTTTTGGTTCTGTTGCTCTCTTTGTGGAGCTCCTGTCCTCTCCAGGTCTTAGTATTTCCCACTTCTTTCATAAGATTCCCTGCATTCTGCCCAAAGGTTGGCCATAAGTCTCAGCATCTGCTTTGATAGTCTGCAGGGTAGAGCCTTTCAGAGGCCCTCTGTGGCAGGCTCCTGACTTGTTCCCTGTTTTCTCCTTCTTCTGATATCCATCCTCTTTGCCTTTCTGAATGGGGATTGAACATTTTATCCAGAGTTATCCTTCTTGATTAGTTTCTTTAGGTGTACAGATTTTAGTAGTTTTATCCTATATTATATGTCTAATATCCACTTATGAGTGAGTATATGCCCTGTGTGTCTTTTTGCTTCTGGAATAGCTCACTCAGGATGATCTTTTACTGCAAATTTCATGATTTCCTTGTTTTTCATTGCTGAGTAATATTCCATTGTGTAGATGTACCACAATTTCTGTATCCATTCCTCAGTTGAGGGGCATCTGGGTTGTTTCCAGCTTCTGGGTATTGCAAATAAAGCTGCTACAAACATGGTTGAGCAAATGTCCTTATTGTGTACTTGAGCCTTTTTTGGTTATAAGCCTAGGAGTGGTATAGCTAGGTCTTGAGGAAGCACTATTCTTAATTGTCTGAGAAAGCACCAGATTGATTTACAGAGTGGTTGTACAAGTTTACATTCCCACCTACAGTGGAGGAGGGTTCCCCTTTCTCCACAGCCTCTCCAGCATGTGTTGTCACTTGAGTTTTTCATCTTAGCCATTCTGATGGGTATAAGGTGAAATCTCAGGGTTGTTTTGATTTGCATTTCCCTGATGACTAATGATGTTGAGCATTTTTTAAGTGTTTCTCTGCCATTCGATATTCCTCTATTAAGAATTCTGTTTTTATCACTCTGCACAAAACTAAAGTCCAAGTGGATCAAAGACCTCAATATAAAACCAGACACACTAAACCTGTTGGAAGAAAAAGTGGGGAAGGGCCTTGAACTCATTGGCACAGGAGACAACTTCCTGAACAGAACACCAACAGCACAGGCTTTAAGAGCAACAATCAATAAATGGGACCTCATGAAGCTGAAAAGCTTCTGTAAAGCAAAGGACACTGTCGTTAGAGCAAAACGACAGCCTACAGATTGGGAAATGATCTTCACCAACCCTATATCTGACAGAGGGCTGATATCTAGTATATATAAAGAACCAAAGAAGCTGAAAAGCAGCAAACCAAGTAATCCAATTAAAAAATGGGGAACAGAGCTAAACAGAGAACTCTCTGTAGAGGGACAGGCAAGGACCCTGTCAGGAAAAGAACTTGAATTTCGTCCCGAGTTTGATGGTGGAGCAACAGGGCAGAAGTTGAAGGCAAGGCCTAGCAAGCACCATGGAGGTGAGGTTGTGGGCAGGGACCGGTTAGGAAGCCAACACTGGGCAAGTTATACAGTTCTGAAGGATGGAGAGGAGGGTGATAGATTTAAAGAGAGAAAGAGAGGAGGTGTGGCATGGAGGCTCACAGCCATCTACACTGGGGTCTGATGCCCTCTTCTCCCATGCAGGTGTACATGCAGATAGAGCGCTCACATACATGAAATAAATAAAGCCTAAAAGGGAGGGAGGTGTGGATAGTTACAGAGTAACTGAAGTCAGGAATCAGCGTAGAGGATCCAGCTCAGAAAGGGTGTGGAAAGCAGGAAGAGGCCAGGAGTTGAGTGTGAAGTCCCCGTGAGGACCTTCAAATGAGAGAAGTCTGTGGGAAGTTAGAGCAATGGTCTCACCTTGGGCAGTATCTGTGTCAGAACTGACACTTCGGTAGAGTTGTGGGTTGAAGTTACAGTTGTGGGTGAGATGCTCCCAGCCACACAGACAGCCACCGAGCAATAAGTAGAAAGGGTCAAGGACAGAGTCCCAGACAACAGGGAAATCGGGGCGGGGGGGGGTCACTGGACAGACAGACTCACAAAGGGGACTAAAGATAAAGGACTCCAAGGGTCAAGCAGACCTGAAGGAATGAAGCTGCTGAAGCCAGGGGATGGAAGGTGTTGAGAAGCAGGGAGCGGGCACCAGGGTGTCAAGGTGTTCACAGAAGGAGAGAGATACAGATGGATTTAGCATGAGGGCCCTTGGGAGCTAGGGATCCTGGAAGCTAGATCCAGAACCCAGGGAGCTGAGGAGCAACATGACTGACAAAGGACAGTGACCAGTTGGACAAATGAAGACTTTTAAAGGGCCCAGCAAAGCAGAACTGGTTTGAATCACCGGCCTTCAGAGGCCACAGCTGAAGAAGTTTCTTTCTGATTGTACAGGCTAAACAGACTTTCAGGACTGTAAGGCAGCCCCTTAGCTGGTCAGTTTGTGGTCTGAGAGTTGCAGGCCCGCAGCATTCAGTGTTGGAGGAAGGCCTAGAGGCAGCTAAAAGCAGCCTCCTTAGTACATCACAGTGGAGGACATTCAGACTTTATGTAATCTTAGACATACTGTGGCATGTTCTTCTCATTTCAGTGCCGTTAGAATATTAAATGAGACAAATCATGTCCTGTCTTCTAAGACGTGATTTAAATATAAAAGTCCTTTTTGAGCTCTCAGACTGAGTCTTATTATGTAGCCCTGGTTAGCCTAGGAACCATTGTATTGACCAGGCTGTCCTTGAACTTGAAATGATCCTCCTGTCTCTTCCTCCCGTATATGGAGCATCATGGGTATGCACCACCACGCCTGCCGTCTCTTCCCTTCTTAGCGTCCTTATTTTGACCACCTGGTGCCCTCGCATAGCTTTCGCCGCCATGTTCCTGCTTCTGGTTTCTGCGGGCTATCTCCTCGCTTTTTGCCAATGGCTCTTGAGTGTCTGTGTTCATCTTGGACATTCGTGTTCTCTCTGTGAACTCTACCTTGCTCCCCCCCCCCCCGCTGATACTCTCACTCAAACTTGTTAGACTCCCCCAATTCCTCCCTTCAGCCAGGCCTGTCGCATCCCTTCTACCTCCCACACTGAAGCCCCCAGGGATGTCTGTGAGATTCACAGTGTCAGTCAGCATCCAGAGTGGGACCCGACGGTTGACTCGAGTGTGGTACCTGAGGAGAGTTTGGTAAAGGCATTGTTTTACAACAGCTTGGGAAAGGCTAAGGGAAACCCACGAAGGATGTGGGGAGCTACTTCATCCCCAAGCCTGAAGGAGCAGAGGAAATGCATGCCCTGGCGCCTAAGGGAGCAGCTGCAGCTGCAGGAGCACTGAGAAGTTCTGTGGCTTTTGGTAGAAGGATGTGGCCAATCTGTGATGGGGCAAGAAAGAGAGAATCAGAGAAGTCAGGACTCCCACCTCCTCTTTAGTTCACACCTCTGTCCTGCTGCTCTCTTCCATTAGCTAAAAACAGCTGAAGCCAGGGTTGAAGGATCCTGATAATACAGTGCAGCCGGGGTCAGCCTTTTACAGCCAAAGAAAGAGGGTGGCTATAGGGGAAAAAAAAAAAAGGAAAAAAATCCGCCAAGTTAGCCATTTATATGCCCAATAATCAATAGGTTTCCAAAGTCATGTTTATTCATTTTTAGTATTTTTTTTTTTCAGACAGGGTCTCACTATGTAGCTTGTGCTGGCTTGAAACTCGCTATATTGAGGCTAGCTTTGAATTCACAGAGATTCATCTGCCTCTGCCTCTAAAGGGCTGGGATTAAAGGTGTCTGTCACCACGCCCAGTCATTTCTATACTAATAGGAATTTGTAGTAACAACAGCTACAGTCTATTGTGTGTGCATAGATGGTGCTGACTTAAGATAGTTTGACTTAACAGGTTTTCAACTTTACATCATGCGAACATGATACCTAATCAGTAGATGGCTTAGATTACGGGTGAGGGACCCATCAATTCTGACAAAGGAAAAAACACTAAAG